CCATAAATTCCAGCCCAGTGAAAGGCTGCAGAAACTTATTTTCTAGCATAGGAAACATCTTTAAAGTTGGATATCCGTTTAGGGAGAGTGGAAGGAAAAGTAGCTGTGCATATCCATCAACATCATGAGCTGCTCAGGCAGGTGTGAAGTTGCCCATATACCATCAAAGCTTTGTTCTCAGCTGAATGAAAAAAACTTCCTGCAGTGGGATATGCCCTGAAACAAGATCTGAGGACTGCTTTGTGCTACCTCAGTGTGTGATGGTGGCTCCTGTCCTCACTGCAAGCTGGGGTCCTGGGTCTGAGGGAAGTTACAACTGCACCAAGCTCTCTGACAGATGCTTCTGCGGTGGGTGGGATTTGGCCAAGTGTTGCCTGGGAGTGAGTTGGACATAACAGCTGTCATCTGTCCCCTGATTCATGGTTTGTTGGAAACCCTCTGCAGAGGGCTATGTTCTCTTTTGAATAGCTCTGTGGGTGCTGTTCCTCTGAAAGGCTAGCGTGTGACTTTCCTTGGCTGGGCTAAATGTGAGCTGAAGCCAGGGAGCGCGCAAAGAAGTGAATTTTGGTCCGTTCTGGAGAGGGGGGACATGACCGTAGGTATATCTTACTCCCATAACTGTAGCTTTACATTGTATACTTTTTGTGACTGCTGTTTGTGTGACAGCACGTTTCCAGGCAAAGGAGTCAGCCTGGGGAATATTGCAGCAGTTGGAGTTGACCTTTAGCTAAACAGGCACAGAAATGCACAACTGCATGATGATGTTTTTATAGTAAGGCTTTCACTGTATAGGTAAGTACCTAACCAACACCCAGTAATGCTTTCTGCTTAGAACAAAGCTTTTGACATTAAAGAGCTGTTTGGATGGTCTGAGATTTATTGCGGAAGAGAGGACAGGTCTGGGAGCAAGAAAAAGGCAGAGCTGTTTTAGTGGGCAAATGCCAGGGTTGCAAAGAGGCTTTTTGGAGACCAGGCCAAGTGGAAAAGATGTGCTTGTGTCAAATTCCTGTAGCAGTGGATGGCACCACCTGCAGACAGTTAAAGGAGCCAGAGACTTTGCCAGTGACTTGTTTATTCCTGTTCTGTTGTTTGGCACCATGGGCTAGTCATTGAGGGTTTTGCAACTTGTCTGGGACTGTTTCATTTTGTATTATTTTTATCTCCCTGCAATGAAGCTTTTTAGTCAATCTGTCTGTTACAATCAAGCTTGATGCTTAATGCTGAAATGGTTAAAAATGATCTTCCTTGCTGCCAGCTGCGCTGGTTATGTTCAATGCAATATGTGAGTTTACTTAAAAGCTATCAGCATGCTAAGGTATATGAAAAATAATTATCTTGAGTGCTGTTGCTCAGTTTAATTTCTCTGCCAGTTATGTAGTGGACAGTGGGAATGACCCAAAGGCAGATGTATTTCTATGGCTTTGCTTGTTGGCTATTTTGCCAGCTGTTGCAGGTGAAACAGAGATCTCTACCAGACAACTTGCCTGCTAGTCTTCAAGCAAGCAGAGATGCTGGGTTTTTTTAAACTGTCTATTTGAAGCTGCCTGCTTGCTCATGTGTTCAGTCAGTACCCGAGCTTGAAACCTGCTCCCAAGATGTTCTTGGAGCATTTAAGTGGACATGCCAGTGGCCTTGGTAAGTGTTGAAGGGGCTGATCTCTCTGAAGATCAAAGATACACATTTCAATGGCAAAAACTTTCCCACTGTGCCTGGCTTAAGGAAAATTGTACCACACTGAACATGTTGGTGTCTGCTGTGTAACTTGTTCCTATACCTGCCTGTGGATTTTTTTTTTTTATTAGTGATGAAAGAAAAGATCGCGGTGGGTTGCCATTACCCCTAAGATTATAGTAAGGATTTCATGGCTCTTGGCTAGGAACCTCAGAAAGCATTTATAGGTCATATTTTTAAAGGTTCATAGTGCTTGCAGTTGGGACTAGACGAGTTGGGTGTTGTCGAGAAGGCAGAAAAAGTGGTTGGGTTTTGGTTTTGTGGGTTTTTGTTGGGTTTGGTTTTTTGGTTTTTTTTCAAGTTGCATGGCATCATCTTCTGTTTGTAAAAACCAGTAATTGAGTCCAAATGGAGGACATTGTTTGCCTAATTGTCCTGATTTGGGAGTGTCTGTTCTTGCAGAAATCAGTAGGTATAGAAATCTGACATTTAGATGTGTTTGTAGCTGCTGCTTTAATGTCGATTGCAGAAGTGTCATTGACCTTAACTGACACTCAATTGTTTTGTTTCTCTCTTTGAGAGTTGTACAAAATAATCAAACAACAGAAAGATACTGTCCACTGTTCCTGAGAGCTGTTGTTTGTTTCAGTAACAGATTAAACATGTTACAAGATTTGACAGTTTTAATGCAATTGAACTATTTACTCTTTGCTTCAGTAAAAGGATGTTTCTGAAAACAGGATCTAGTACACAATATTTGTGGCAAAATAGAGTTTCCCTGTTATATACTTAAAATTGAAAATGTTTTCATGATCTTAACTCTGTCTTTATATAGAAGTTTTATTCTTTAATAAGGAAACATCTTGTAAAATCTTCATTAATGTTCAAAAAGTGTTTTGCTACAGTTCCCAACTTTCTATAATGTTCTTATTAACTTTTTGTTCCTTAAAATACTCAGTCTTTAATTATAAAACGTAATTTTTGCTATAAAATGTGACCACGATGCGCTCTAGTCTATAGAAAAGCAGAAGCCTCGCAGTTCTAGCAGAACTGTACTTGCTTATGGATTTCCTGGTGAATTTCTGCAAAAAGTGATGCACATCAAACACACCAGGGCTCTCATGCAAAGAGGCACAGAATGTGTGGGATCTTTTGTGTGTTCAACTTAATAGAGCGTACAAAGCAATTCCAAGATAGATCTTTCCAGCTACAAAACAGAAAAGTCAATCTTCTATTTCCATGTGCTGTGTCTTCTCTGTCTCAACAGATGTAAGTGGAATCATATAAGGGAGTTTATTCTTGATTTGCACTTGTGGGTTTTTTTCCTGGAATGAATTTACTGTTAGCCCTTTGTTGTTATATAAATTGTTTACCCAAACTTTGAAGAAGTAAATTGAGTGCTATTGTAATAAAATGCCTCTCTGTTCACTTCCCCAGAACTAGCCTGGTTTTTACTCAGATAATGTTTGTCTTGCATGTAGCTTTTCTTAGAGCCAGAAGATGCAAAAATTCTGCAATTGTTAAACAACTCAGTGAAAAATGGTAAAGCTCATATTACAGAGATGGAATAAAAAAATCACTTTGTGCTAGTCAAGGACACCCAGAGGCTTTTCTGTGCACCGAGTTTTGTTATCCAATGCTCTTGTTACAGATGACTTCCCCACATTGTGGCCAATACATGCTCCAAAAGGGTATTCTTGGGTTTCAGGTATCCAGGTAATGAGCAGAGGTTGAATAGACAGGTAAACCAAACTGAAGGATAATAATACATGAGTACTGGCAAGCTGCCTAGATTGGCTTTGGTAAACATGATTCTGCAAGAGCTACAGAGTGTAAAACGGGAACTGTGCTGTATTTAAACAATCAATCAAGAGGATTAGCCTGAGTTCCTTGACTGCTGACAGGTATGTTGCACGTAGGCATAAGCAAGTCTCTCATAAAAATGATGAAGAAACCAGGAAGATGTTTCTCATCAGATGATTTATGTAGAGTAGGGAAGGGGACAGGGGATTCTGCAGTCTTCTTTGAGCTGTAAAGGGACAGATACTGTAGAGCTTTAATGAGCATGGCATTTTGGTGATTTTTGCATTAGGCCTATGAGACATAGCTTGCACAAATAGTTAAGACTGCTCCCTGTGCAAATCTAAGGGATGCAGCTTTTATGTATTTCTGTCAAAATTGGGAGAACATCTGAAGTGCAACCGCAACCATTATTTAGCTATGGAAATTAAATCCACAAAGTTTTTAATACAAAATTGATAGACACTTGTAGGATGCTGCCTGGGCCTTCTCCCACATTGCTTAGCAATGTTGCCAATGATCTAATTCTTGCTTTCACTATTTCAGATTTTATTTCAAAGTCAGGAGGGAATGATATCTAATATTCATGCTGTTAGCATGTGTGTACTCTGGCACTATTGATCTGCAACAATAATTTTGAATAGACTTGCGTTTGAACACGACTTTAGTGGTGGTTTTTTTTCCTTCACTATCAAGCTGGCTTTTGCTTAATGCTTTGTTTTAAATATTATTCTGAAAGGGCCTTCCCTGAATGGAGACATGGGATGTGAGGCTGCGAGACAGATGCAGACAATGATAATAAGATAATAATAATAAAGATAATAAATAAATTTTGGTGTTTTACTCCATAGCAGTTTGATGCTCTGCAGGAACAAATGGTAAACCTGGCAGCAGCATGGTGTGCCTACAGCAGAGACTTTAGACAGCAAACTATTCACAAGAGTTATTACTGAATGCTGATGGTCTTTTCCCATACAAAAAGAAAGCTTGCAATGGTTTCTGCACCTGGAAGGAGTATCGTAGCAACATCACTGAGGAAACTGTATGCCAGGACTTTTTTCTGAGTGCTTTTTTGTTGAACATAGCAGCAGTTGTAAAACAAAGGTCAAGAGCAATTCAAGCTCTTCAAAGTGCTGTTGCTTAATTCATTTACTCAGAGAAATGTTTGTGTTGTAGTTTTATGCCTAAAGGATAAATATCGGCTTACAGAGTTATCCAACAGACTATCCAATTGCAGTGTAGTTAAACATGAATATCACTTAATCTAAAATGTCACTTCTTACTTGCGGGAAAATTACTGTCAGCATTTAACACTAGTTTTTACCTTGTGAAGTAACCAGGAGTCCCTGCTGCCTTCTGCCTGCTCTAGCAGCTGAGGGTACTCCAGGGTTTTCTGTGCAACACAGAACAGGGTAGCACAGAACACCACCAAGTAGTGGGAACAGACTATCGGTCTAATTAAAAAAAAAGAAGAAAGCTCTTTTTTTTTTTTGCCTGAGAAGCTGTATGCAGTCATTGTTTTACTATATGCACAGACCTCAGGTGAGTCCCTGCTTCGTGCTTTGTCATCAGCTTTCAGGGAAAATATACTTATTTTGGGTTTTCCTACATCATTCACTGCTACCGTGTCAGAAGTACTTGCTGGGTGGGCTTGCTCTTACTGGTCTTGCCATCTTGCAAAGGGGAGAGGGCAGTGTTTATCTTTTTGTTTTATGGATGGGGGGAGTTGAGGTGAGGGACTAAGACCCTTTTCAGCCCCCTGGGCTGGGGCTGCAGAGTTACTGGGAGAGCTGAGCCATGCCCTAATTCCCTCTGAGCTTATGCTTTCATCATGCAGAACAGGGACAATGTTACTGTCTTTCACCAGGAGAGATGGTGAAAAAATGGAGCCTAAAAATGGAGTCTAAAAAATGCGGGCAGTTGTAACAATAGTTTTTGCCCTCTGCCCAGTCTAGTAGATAATCTCTAGTTCTAGAGCCCAGTCTAAAAATGGAATTTTTACCATTTCTACTCAAATTTATGTGCTACACAAGGGACAAAGCCTGTTGCTGGTCTTTTTTTGCCTGCATTCTGACTTGGAAAAAAGATTTTATATTTAGATTATTGGATGTTGAACTTTTTCATTAGCTGCTTAGAGAAATACAGGTTCTGCATGGTTTCATATGTAAACAGTCATCTAAAAAGTCAGCAGTCATCGGACATCATAATTCTTTCTCTCAGCTCCCTGTTTATTAAGCTAAATGATGGTTTAATGTGGAATTTAATATCAGACAAACTAACATGTTTAAGGTAACCTTCTGTTGCCTTCATTACAAAGGCACTTGAAAAGTGCTAGAGCCATTTTCCTTCTCTGAGAAATATTTCCCAGTAATTTGCCGAAGAAAATTAGCTGAGGATAAGGTGCTTGTTCTGAGGCAACACAAGAAATTTTCAGTGAAAATCTGTCAGCTAATAGAAAAAATGAAACGCTGTTCAATTCAAACAATCTTTTTGTTTTTGTTTTTGTTCCCTCCTTCTGGACTTCAGGTGATGTGACTCCTGTTCTCATGAATCCTCTCTCACAGTCACACTCCATTCCTCTGGCAGAAGGAATATGCCGTACCATATCAGACATGAATGCAGATCATGTGATGGTCACGCAGGAAACTTTAATGGAGCAGTTAGTGAAGAATTATCCAGGTAATGTGTTTGTTTCCCCCTCCTTTTAAAAGTGACTGTATCATCAAACTTGAGTTTCTGATATTGGGCAAGTGATCACTGAATGTTTACAAGCAAAGCTGGCAATACGAAAGAATATAAATTAATAGGCAAGTGGTAGAATATTTGAGTATGCACATTCATCAATCTGTGAGCATCACTAACATTGTCTTGAAGGTAAACCTTTTTACAGATTTTCATAAATCTTCTTTGAGAGTAAGAGGGAACTCAGTGTAGTAGCCTGTTGAGAGTATGCCCTTTCTAGAGGGTGGGAAAGCATAGATGAGGTATTTAGGTGCCAAATATGGAACAGCATGAAACAGACTGTGTGTCAGATCACAAAGACTTTGAGTTCTCCTTTAAGAGACAGGAACATAGCTGACTTTGACGGCAAAGGGACTGGGTAGGCGTCTACATCCAGTGTTTGCTATCAAAAAATACAACTGTCCTCAAGTTCAGATTTGTTGGTCAAATTCCAGCCTCTTCCTTCCTGAAAGCAAATGACTTACACTAAGTAAGCTTTAATCCTTCTCTTCTGATGGGGTAGCAGCCACCTCCCTTAAATGCCATGCTTTCTTTTCAGTCTGAAAAATATTCAATTTCCTTTAGATCTGCAAGACTGAAGTGTGTGTGTGTGTGCACACAGGAGACTTTATAAAGGCTCATTACGGCCCTCTGCAGGAGGTTACCGTGTTTGATACTGAGCTTCCTCGTTTGAGTCTTAACCTTATAGCTCTGCAAACGTTACAGGTCGATCTGGCAGGCATTTTCAGTAGTGGGAAAAATTTTAATGCAACCCCATAAACTGGCCCAGAACCCTGCCAGGAATGTGATGTAGTCCATATGTGCACTGAGACAACCACAAGGTAGCATTTTTAGGTCAGCCAGAAGTAACACTCTCAAAGTTTCTAGGGAGAGAGCATATTCCTTGCTATGTTTTCACCTTGCTGGAAGTTTTCATTCCTGCGGGCAGGAGATCAGCAGAAGCCTGGGGCAGTAGATCAGATGTCACTAGACTAGTGACTCTGGGACTGTGACACCTGAGGGAAAACCAGTAGCTGAGGCTAGTCTCAGTGAGGTAAGCTATTGTCATCTGACAAAATTATACAGGAAGCTTCAGAGAGAATGATAAAAGCCACTGTTAAATAACCTGCCAAGAGGGAAATGCTTTGAACAACACATTGTTTGGTTGTACCTGGCAGAAGCTCTCTCATGAATATCGTATCCTGATAGACACAAAGAGAATATTCTTGCTTATTCGAAGGAGAACATCCTAAGCTCCATCGCAGCAGTGTTGCAGTAACAACCAGAAACGCAGTTGGCCTTTACCTGCTTCCTCAGGGGTGACCTTGCCTCATCAGTGAGGACTGGCCGTGGCAGAGTTCAAAAGGGTTTTACTGAGCCGTAAGACACGGGCAGGATTGCACCTAACCAGAGCCCTCGGCTGGATGATGTTTCTGTGCTGCCCTCACCTGGCTGGCCCAGGAGGGTTCTCCCTAACTCAGGCCTGCAGCCTGTGCTGGCCCCAAGATTTGGGGCTGTCCTCCACCTGTGGACACTGCTGCAGGGTAGGGCTGTCCCTGTTCTGCAGGGAGCCCAGGGCTGTGGGTGGGGACAGCTGGGTGCAACAACAATTGCTGGCTGTGGAAGCTTAGCAGAATTGGTGATGTATTAAAAAAAAAAATAAAAAAATCCTGCCTTTTGTCTGCTGATACTGGACAATTTCATGTTGAAATTGAGTATGCCCTACTCAAACTTCAGTTGCCAGGTCAGTTTCAAACTTCTGTATGTAAGTTATTTTTTGGCCAGCTCCCATTTTATTTGAAAACTTATTTCTGATTTTAAATATCTGTATCTTTGGTGTAGGCATTGCAGTTCCTTCCCACAATGTCTTATATAATATCCTTGGCACTCTAATTAAAGAAAGGAAAATCTATCATACGGGAGAAGGATACTTCATGGTGACTCCCAACACATACTTCATCACAAATGATGCCACAGAAGACAACAGAAGGGTCCCGTTGGCAGACAGTCATTGCTCTTCTTCGCCTTCCATCACTTACCTGGTAAACATTGAGCGCTGTGCAGACCTAGCAAAAGAAAACATTCCTATGGTATCCCGTTACAGATCCTGCCATTGTTTCCCTGACCAGAATATGCTCTGTGAACAAAGACCTCGGCAGCTAGTGGACCGTAAACCTAATGGGGGAGGTAGGAAAGGCTGCAGTGAATTGAAGCCTTCAATTCAAACTCACGGGATCTCCACATCTGCTGAAAACCGTTCCTGGGACACCATCAAATCCCTGACATCTTCAAAAGAGAAACTGAAAAGCAAAAGGTTTGGCCTTGGCCTTTTCTGGAGAAGTGCTTCCAAAAAAGAAAAACGTAAGAAGGAGTACTCCACTTTTTCAGCCCAGTTTCCTCCCAAGGAGTGGCCAGTCAGGGATGAAGATGACTTAGATAATATTCCACGTGATATTGAACATGAAATCATCAAACGTATTAACCCTACTCTTACAGTTGATAATTTGATTAAACACACAATTTTAATGCAGAAGTTTGAGGAGCAAAAAAAATACATCAGTAAGGGTACCTTGGCTGAAGTGTCAATAGTCAGGCAAAACCATCTTTCAAAGGACTGTATTCAAAAGACAGAAAGTAAACCAGCAAAACACACCAGGAAAACCAAATCAAAGGAAGAGAAGCAGATTAGTAGAAGCAACAGGAAATTTCACATACATGAGCTAACATCCCAAAATGAGAAACTGGAAGAGAACCTTTCACTGCCTATCTTAAACCAACAGCCATCTGATGTAGGAGTGGAATCCCATGTCATATATAAAAAACAAATTAAGAACCCTTTCCAGGGTCTGTCATGGAGACGCAACTTTCATGCAAAAGGGTACAAAGGTACTATTAACAGTCAGCTGAAGTCCAGGACTCGAAAGCAAGACAGAGCTTTACAAAGGCCATGGTCCTTGGACTCCTCAAAAACTTTTGACTATGAAACCAAACAGCTGACTACTGAAATGCAGGCTGACAAAGCTAAGCAAAACAAACTACTCCATGCTAATAGGTCTTCCCTCCAACTAAAGAAAGACAGTTTAAGTGAAAACTTTAGTTATCTGCAAGGCAATACTTTGCAAATAGATAATAAAAGTAAATACTTTCTGGAGAGTACTATTTCTGAAGAAAACATCTACAGAGGAACAGTAAAAAAAAATCCTGGGGATATTAAAAAATCCCCTCACTCCTACATTGAAGATAATGGTGTGTGCAAAGAAGATGCAAAATTTTCATTACATCTGAAAGATGAGAATTGCAGGTGCAAAGCTGACACTGTATGTGAGCTATTAGATCAAACAGCAAATGAATTTCAAAATGTCCATCTTTCAAATTATACAGCCAATGTCAGCCTGGTAAAAAAAATTGGTGTGAAATACAGACAAAAGACTGATAAAAAGAGTGAACTTATATTTAAATATGACTGTGCCAGCCATCCCGGATCAATGAAGCTGGGAAGTGAAGGATTTACTGATAACTGCCATCTTCTGTACCAAAAAGCACATGATGGTGACACCTGTAACTCGTTACATCTGGATGACAATTTTGAAGGCAATGAACCATGTCACCTGCCTCCTGGCCATGCTTTTTCAGATACAAGAGACTGGAATAAAGCTGTGCAAAAGCTGGGGACAGCTATGTCCCTAAAAAACTGTAAGGTTAATACTTATCCCGCCCAGTACAACACAACTGTAAATAAATGTGACTCTGGAGAGCATGGATATAAGGAAAGTGCTAGTTTTGCAGAATCAACAGATGGCTCAAAAGAGCATCCAAAACCAGGTTTCTCAGAAGAAAGTTGTTTGTGCAGTCAGGTTCTTCTGATAGGTCGCAGAAAGGAAGAAGAAGCTGGCCTTACTGAATGTGCAGAGGCTTCAGCTGTAGCAGATTTCTGCCACACTAATGAGGCTGACTCAGATGCTGACACTTTGCAGAACTTCACCTATGAGATAGGTGAAGTAGTGGCATGCTGTGCTTTGGGCTCACAGACCAAAGAAATGAGAAACCCTCTGGGAAAAAAAGATCTGCTTTTTAAGAATGCATGTACTGTGGTATCAGGACAGAAACACCCAGAAGGGACAGAAAACCACAGCATTACAGGAGACAGCGGAATTGACTCCCCAAGGTAAGAGAACAGATGTAACTATCTTAGATGTTTTATCTTTACACTAACAATCAAATTTAGGCACAGATGTTGCTGGAAATCATAAAACCCCCTCCCCAACAACAAAATTCTTATTATCTTTAAAAACTTGAAGGGGAAATACTCAAACTGTATAGTTCTACCACGTCTTTTTTACATTAACATTCCCCCTAAATCAGCTATACAAATGCTGCTGTTTATATTTTGCATTTGTTTTCATGAGGCAAGAAAATAGTAGGAGCTCTGCCTTGCAGATGGCGATGGCCAAGTACGTAAATGTTAAGAAACATGGTGACTGATAAACTCCTGTTAGCAGGCAGGTTCAGCTCGCATTGACCTTGCCATATGACATTACAGACATTGTCATAGTCTCCCCAGTTGTAGACAAAGAATAAGCAGCTCTTTATAGAAGTGTTCAATCAAAATTTAAAGTACAAAATACCATCTGACTTGCTCACAACAGACAGGAGAATGTGTACATCACCTGAGCTAGAAGCTTCTGCTTCCTTTCACAGGGTACATTTTGCCTGTAACTATACTTGAAAAATCCTTTAATGGAAAACAAATTGGTATGAAACATTTTTTTACACAGTTGCATGTGGAGAAGACCTACAAACTTGTTAATGAAGTTGGCAAGAACATAAGTTAAAATGCTGTGAGGGAAAAATCATATCAATTTTTTTAATAGCATTGTATATTCTTAAGATCTTAAATGACTGGTATTTAACTGTAATTAAACCATTCGAGTTCTCGTTAGATATGTACTGTCACCCTGAGAAGTGAGTATATGGAGGAACAAATCACATACTGTAGTTTTTAAGGAAATTCTGCTGATTTTTTTTTCCACCTTAAGCAGCTTTTGGCTGTGCACTCTTTCAAGCACACTTCTAGAGTATTACTTGGACACAAACACTTGAAATCTGTTGGATGCTCTTTAGCAAAATATATTTCAAAGGGTCATTTTGATTGTTTGTATCGATGCCATCTCTGGTACCAGAAGCTAAGCCAACTCAGTTTATTTATAGAATGTGAAGTCTGATGTCTAATAATTCTGTTATTTTAGATGGAATGAAAAGAAGATGAAGCCTCCTGCCAAATTCTGAAAGCATATATACTAATGCAAAGAGGAGGACAAAGTGGAAGGACAATTGCAACAAAATTCCTTGCTTCAGCTAACTCTGGTCATGAATATTTGATTATTTTTTTTTTTAAATGAGCTTTGTAAACTTTCCCTTTGTAACAACGTAACCATACTGTAAATGTGATCAGTCACATCTGTGAGGCTGTCTAAATCAAAGCTCTTGGTTAAAACTTTACACAGTAGTATTTGGAGAACTAATGTGTATTTCTGTTGCTCTTGTCTTTAATTAGTTTTTGTGTCTCTGTGATAATAAAAATGAGAACTCGTATACTTCATTCAGATCTGGAATGGGTTATGTGTTGCTCTGACAGGAACTGTATCAGTTGGACAGGACTGTTTTACGCTGTAATTTGCTTACTGCTTGTGCCGCAGAAATAACAGCATGCTCCATCTCCCCTGTCAGAAAACAAAACAAATGAACTAGACTTGCATGCACCTTGTTACTACGAAAACTCCTTTGAATCCCGAGGTTGTCTCATTGTGTCCTGATGAAATCTCAGCTGTCCTCCTGAATCTGTTTGGTGTGTTTATATCTGGCAAGCAGGATTTAGTCTTTGCAAATGAAAATGCGTTGGTGCAGGAGACAACAGGTACGGTCAGTGGCATTGCTCTGAAAAAAACCCTGCCGCAGGCCTGCGCGCTCCTGCTCTGCTCCTGACCACCCCTTTCCTTCTTTTAAGGAATCAACAACCTGGCAGCCGCCAGGATCGCTTCACAGCTTTTAGTTCAGAAGACTAATTCTGACTTCTTAATCCTGATTTCTTCCTGTAGCTAAAAGCAGACTGTGCTGGAAGCATGCTGCTAATCACAAAAGGCTTGTGGTCCTTTTAAACCTTACAGAGGCACTTGGTCATGCTGTTACCGACTACGTTAGGCTCTTTCACTGCTGAAAACTTGCCTCCAGTAGCTATGGAGACAGAAGGCTAAAGTTGTAGTTACCAGTTTTTAAAGCTACTGGGAGATTTCTTTTAGGGAAGGTGTCTCCGGCTGTGAAGAAGTGGAAGAAACTGCGGTTGTGGTGGCTGGGGCTGAGCAGAGCCCTGCAGCGCGCTCTCCCGTCCGCCTCGGTCCGCGGCCGGTTTCAGTCACGCCGGTACCGGCATCTCCCCCTCGGCCTTCCCCAGGAGCTCTCTCGCCCTCAGCCCCTCACGCCGCCCGCCCGCAGCTTTTCCGCTTCCTTCAAAAACTCCTCCCAGGGGCTCACACGCGCAACGGGGGCACGGCAACGACGCAAGCCGCGGTGGAAAGCCGGCGCAGGAACCGCAAGCCGCCCTCCGCCCGCCGGCGCCCGTCATGGCGGACGCCTCACGGCGGAGGCGCGGGAGCCGCCACGAGCTCCAACGCCTCGCGGGCGCGGAGCACGCTGGCTCTTGGAGTC